CTGCAGCTTTTAGTATGCACTAATCTAGTAGTACAAGTAACTGAATTCGCTATCAGTTGTATGTACAGTGACAGACGTACCATGGAAACATATTTTACTGAGACTGACCATATCTATCTCGTCCGCATCGAGAACATCGTCGAATTCGCTCAATCTGTAAACAATTCACAGGTAAACAGACACATGAAATAAATCGAATTGAGAAACAAAATTTCACGCAGGTACCTCGCTTACCTCTTTCGCAGGATGCTCATTTTCGTAGCACATGTGACTGATGTGACACTAAGCAGGTCCAGCGACGTGGGAGCACGGATCTAACCGCGGCTTCTTATCAGCATTCAGTGGGCGTGCGACACAGCGTTGATGCGTGCAGGCAGGCGCGTGTACAGATCTGATGCAGCGATATCCTGTAAATCTCGTTTTCTCATTATTGACTGCTGCCCGTCGCCTCGACGATCATCATCGCTTTCGAATCGCTCCGCCAGACTCACAACCAGCTGTAGCCGGCAGCAATGGCCATTGACTTCGCAGTAAACTCCGGACTACTCCGGAGTATTCCGACGAGTGAATATCGATACTTCTCTCGCTCTCTCTCTTTTGATCTCTCGATATATCAGCATCGATACTCGTCGCAGCCGTACGAAGTATCGACTCTCGCATGCTCTCGCGCCAAGAGATTTTCTGTCCTTGTTTTATGTCTAATAAATGATGAGGATAGAATGAGACAGTAGCACGAGTAGCGTCTCCCCGAATGTATCTACACCGATAGTAAGCAACAGCAAGTTTTGTTCTGTCAGTACTGACAGTAACTGTCAGTAATGTATAGTTTATCTCGTTGACGGGTCGAATTACTTCGAAAGGGCAGAAACTGTGAAAACTTGGAAAATAGATCGCGATATCGAGCGATACTTTAAAAAGAATTCAATGCTTGCTGTTTGATATCAGCTGATTGATATGGCTACTGATAACGGAGTCTCGAATTGCCAAAATATACATCTATCTCGGATGGGTAATGTGCCCGCTGAGCGAATAATGTGTACACTGTTTACAGTGTTTACACAAGAAAGTGACTGATGAGTGTATATGATATTTTAAGACATTAAAGGAGTTCGCGTATGCGCATCGCTTGAAATATATACCAATATATCTCTTGACTTGTTATACCGCCAATTTGTACTGCGACGTTTCTCGTAAATCGAGATCGTAATGTCACTTTATAACGCGAATAATATTTGATATAATTGTAAGTCTTGGAATTTCTTAATCTATAATCTATCATTATTCTGCATTCTCCTGTTGAACACAAACTAACAGTATTTAACATTAATGTTATAATTTCCTAATCATCAATGTATCCAGATAACAACGTGTCTATCCTGTTGCTGGCAAGTTGCTTATTAAGTATAAATTACTAAGTATGTGTTGCTATCAGAATTGCAACAACTGAATCTTCATTTATTGGCAACTTGATGCCTTTACGTGATAACATTGAATAGCAACTTGCCAGCAATTTGCCGACAACTTTAAAATCGTCCTCATCAAAATTCATACTGTTACTATCATGTTGTCATAATATGCAGCATCATACAATGCTGTCATATTGCCGACAACGCAAGATAACATTGACGCAGCTATCTTACTGTTAAAATGCTGGCAATACAGATACACATAAGATCTGTTCTCTTTAGCTAAAGTTCTTGCACAGTTCATCTTTCTTTCTTTTCCTTCTACGTTGAAGAAATTGTTGAAGATAAATCTATGACAAGTTGCCAGCATCATAAGCAATCACAGATTTGTACGATTTTGCTATGACACGCTTTGCTATCTGAATAACTGTTATTACAATGTATTATGTTACATTTATATTGTTAAATGGAAAATTATAATTATTAAAACTTGAAATACGAAGCGTCTTACCAGTCCGAGTGTTAAGATGTTGAACTACTCTCTCTCTCTCTCTCTCTCTCTCTCTCTCTATATATATATATATATATATATATATATATATAT